AGAGAGAGATACATAATAATGGGTGCAAAGTATGCCCATGAAATGGATGTCCATGGAATTCTGTGACATGCAGTGAAGCTGCTCGAGGTGGACACTTTATGGTGCTGCAGTAGCCCAGAAATGGATTCCGTGGAATTTGAAACATGTGGCTATGCTGCTTTGGGTGGGCACCTCAAAATATTGAAGTGGGCACGAGCGAGTGGCTGCCCAGGAATCAAAGTACATGTACCCTTGCTGCTTGTGGTGGGAACTTGGAAACTTTGAAATGGGCCAGAGACATGGATGCCCATGGGATGCAAGCGTATGTGCCAATGCTACCGAATGTGGTCACATAGACATTTTGAAATGGGCCAGGACAATGGTTGTCCATGGGATGAGTATACATGCTTTTTTGCAGCTACGGGTGGGCATTTGGAAACCTTGAAGTGGGCTCACAGAAATGGGTGCCATGGAGTGCCCTTACATGCTCTGCTGCTGCTGAAAGGGGGCACTTGGAAATGCTTCAATTTGCTCGGGCAAATGGCTGTCCGTGGGATGAAGAGACATGTTCCAAAGCAGCAGAAAATGGACATTTGGAAGTTTTGAAATGGCCAGAAAGTATGGTTGCCATGGAATGCAGACACGTGCTCTGGTGCTGCCAGTGGTGCACCTAGAGTCTTGAAATGGCCGCGAAATGATGCCCATGGGATGCAATGACATGTTATTTTGCTGAGAGTCATCGGAAGTTTTCCAATGGGCAAAAGACAACGGCTGTGCAGAGCATTTCTTCTAATAGCATCCAAATTCTTTAAATTACATCCTGCTGCTTATCCTGCTGCTTCTATTAGTTCTTTTTGTTGTTTTGTTCCTGCTTCATTTTGAGGTTGACTCGAGTCTTGGTATGCAGTTCCTGCAATTCATCGTCCCATCCCATCAATTGAGAGAGAGTGACAATGGCATCATCACAGTCACCTTGTGGAATATCTTGCTGTACTCTTGTTCTGTTTGTTGGTTTTGCCCAGTATATCAAGATTTCCAACCAGCTCTCTATTGAGCAGAACCCGCTTGCAGATGTTGCGATTGACAAGATCTGGAATCATGCTCACGGGAGCCACCTGGAGGCTTGTTCCTAGAATGATCAGAAGGTCCGCTTGTTGCAGGTCAGGTCGTAGCAGTTTGTGAAATCGGTTTGGAAGACCCTCGCCGAAGAAGACAATGTCGGGTTTCACATATCCTTTGCATTTGTCGCATGTGGGTGCCTTGCCTTCCTTGGTGATGGACTGTACCACAGAGTCAATGTCGGCAGATTTGGCACAATCGATGCAGGCAGCCGTGCGGAAATGCCCGTGGCATTCCACGATTTTGTCAGGTGGCAACTCGGCAAGCACTTCCAGCCCGTCAATATTCTGTGTTCCGCAGAAAGGCAAGTTGAGGATGACGCAGACGTAGAGAGGCAGAGCTCGGCATATGAACGATGTGGAAAGCAATCGTACAGTATAAATCTAGCCAACGGAACTCTCACCTGTGTGTACACTCTTAGCAGTTTTCCCTTCGAAGCCAGCATGCTCATAAAGCAGTGGGTAAGGGTAGGCGAATGGATCATTCCAGGCCAGATCTCCTTTGCCAATGAACAAAAGGGTTTGGGATTCTTTCGGTAAAAGTCAACATCAAAGACTGCTTCGGGGTAGGGGAGGTTGTACTTTTGCAAGTTATCATACCTTGTTGTAGAAAAAGATGAACGCTGTCAGCCATCAATCACCATTGTTCTCGCCATGATTGAAATGCAACATAGAGGCCAACTTACAGCCCCGTCCCAGGCGACCTGAAATCAGGAATTCCAGCGGCCACCGAAACTCCAGCACCACTCAACACAACAACCTTTTCGCAATCGTTCAGAATCCAGTGGGCCAACGCTTTTAATGCCACTGGAGCACCCTCGATTTCTTTCACAGGAGTGGATGATTCTCCCAGCGACAACTTGGCGACCTCGTCAGCCAAGGCATCTTCGGCCTTCTTCTCAATCTCACCACTGCTCATTTCTGTTTTATCCTCAAAGTCAATGTCAAGCTGGTATAACTCTGAAGAGGGAAGACCTCCCATTAGCTACCGGTATGGTCTCAGACGTTGATGGGATTGGTGATGGACGCAACAATCCTTGTTTGATTTGAGAAAGGTGCCCCTTTCAGCCTTTCGGCGAGCAGCATGCAATCGATCCGATTCGAGGGCAAACCCAGTCGAGCTATAACAAGCCAGCAAGCCTAGCTAGTCAAATACTCCCTGAGTTCCGAAGGTTGTTCCGGGCAGAGGAAACCTCAGGGACTCGGTATGGTACTAGTACGGCTTGTACAATGTCATGTACATGTACCAGGTACCTGCTTGCAGAGTTGCATGGTCTGTGTATTTGGTTTCCTAAAATGAATGAGAGGGGACTGCTGGTCTAATGCTATGTTTGATGGACAGCCGGAATTCGCGCAAGGGAAAATAGAAAGCGCGAGCACAAGGGTGCTGTGCTGGGCTTTGAGTGGAGTTGACGGGTTCTTGGGATGGGGATGCCCACAAACCGAGTACGCATCCATTGCAACTATCACTAAATGATTGAAAAGCACTAATTACTCGCTCCAGGTTCCAAAACTATAATTTTTCTCCCCATTTCTTGTCATTGAACAATATCAGAAGGTTAGCGCCTCTTCTGACCGCCGCCTGCGGTCACCTTGGACCAAAGACTGGACGTTTTAGATGCTGTTGGAGGTCTTCTTCCTCCGAGCTTCAAGTTGGAACTTCCAAGGTTGCTCGAAAGGGAGGCACTCTGCTGAGAGTCTCCTCCACGAGAGAGCTGACTAGCACCACAAGTTTGAAAGACCACGTGGCTGAACGATATGCTCTTGGAGGAGATGCCCGTGTCCTGAGAAATTGAGGAAGTTTGACTGTTGCCAAGGAAGCTGGTCCGCCCCACTCGTTTCGTACGCTGTCGGCCTGATTGCAATGCAAGGGACAGGCTTCCCTTTTTGGCAAGAAATCTGCCTCCAAACGCAGGTGCTGTCTTTTGACGCTTTGCGCTTGGTGGTTCTTTGGAGATGCCGCTATTGGAGGTTCCTGTCGACGATGACCGGGAAGCCGAACTGATGCTGCGTTTACGAGCAAGGCCGTTCTGATCCAAGCCGAGACAACACGTAAGACAAGCTCCAAACATCAAACACACGAGAAAGACAAGACAAAGCAGAAACAAACCTTCATCTGACTGAGCTCCTCCTTCATGTTGGAGTCTTCCTCGATTAAGCGGGAGTCCGTGAATTCTTCATTGTCCCCAAATTCATCCATCAAGCGCTGCATCCTTGCCCGTTTGGCGAAGCGTTTTGCAAGACGTTCTTGTTCCTTCTCGTCTTCGCCGTCCTCCTCTTTCTTCACTTCTTCGTCGTTTTCTTCCTCATCCTCGTCTTCGGAAAAGTTTTCCTCCAGCTCCGCAGAACTCCTGTGCAAGAAACGATCTTTGAGCATCTTGTCAAGTAGAGCTGTTTCGTCTTCCTCTTCAGCGTCATCTGCTGGTTTGCCTTCTTCGTCGCTTTCAAGTTCGTCCTCGTTGAGGAGACCCAGCTCTTTGGCCCCTTCACGGTTGTCGGCAGCAACCAGTTGGTCAAATCGATGGATCCCACGAGCACCCACGCCGCCACCTGTGATACCTCCTCGTCGCCCGTCGTAACCTTCTCTCATCCTTCGCAACATTTCCTTGTGACGTTCCTTCTCTTCTTTCTGATGCATTAGTCGCCTCGCGTTGTCGCCCTTTTCCTCGTCTCCTTCATCGTCTGAAAGGTCATCGACGACATGCTTCAGGTCATCGGCCGTGAATTCTGCATCAGCCGCGTCTTCGTCGTCCGCTGCCTTCTTTTTGTGCAGAGAGAAACCAAAGTCTTCAAGTCCTGCCACTTCTTCCTCCTCTTCTTCATCGGCTTCCGTCTCTAGGAAGTCATTTCGTCGCTTCTTCTGCTTTTCTTTCTTTGCCTCCCTCTCCAGCATTGCCTTCCAACCAGCGTTACGGTCTTTCTTCGTTTCATTGGTTGTCTCTTCTTTCGCGCTCTCCATGTCGTGTTCGGGATCTGCTTCATCATCCGTGTCAGCAATGTCTGCTCTGTCTTTATCAGCAGGGGACTCTTCACTCTCAAGGGACGAATCGAGAGGCTTATCTGGTTGTGAATTGTTCTTGGCATCGGCTTTCTGCTGAAAAACAGGAGCCTGAGTGTCGAACGCTTGCGCATCAAAGAACTGTGTGTCTGTCTCATCATCGGGTTCTTTGTCCTCCTCCATGGTTGCAGACTCAGGCTGGGCTTCAGCTTGTGTGTCAAATTGTTGTGTCTCGTCGCCAGCGTTCGTGTCGTCCTTCCCTGATCCCTTAGCCAGTGTCTCGGATTCATCAGTTCCACGTGTGGACGTTGGTTGCGTATCAAGCGGCTGTGAATCCACGTCTTCCACAAGTTGCTGAATAAGGGACTTTCCATTGTTGTCCGCTCCTGGTTGTGAATCGATTGGCACATCTGGCAATTCATCCGTTTGGGCATCAGGAAAACAGTCATGCTGGGTTGATGCGTCGACCTGGTCGGACGTGTTCTTTGCTGCTTCGGCACTTGGTTCGTTTGGAGAAGGGTTCGTAGCAGCTTGAGAAGACTTCTTGGCTTGTTCACGTGGAGTTTCTCCATCCTTATCGTTTGTAGATTGGGCGAGTTCCGTGTTCTCACCATCAGACCTGTTCTGGCCCGATTCATCCGTTTTTGATGTCATTGTTGAGTCTTTGGTGCTTTCGTGAGCTATTGCCAAATCAGAGTCTTCGTTCTCCTCTGCCTGCTCTTTCTCCAGTTGCTTGGCAAGCATCAGCTCTTCATCATCAACTTCCTCGTCGTCTTCGTCATCATCGTTTGGAGTGGGAGCATCAACCTCAAGCTCTTGTTCCTCGTCGTCGTCATCATCGCCACCATCTTCCTCCACAGCCTGCGCACGCAAACGTTCACGCATTTGGGTGCGTTCATTGGCAGCCAGCCGCTCTGCTTCTCGCCGCAACACCATGTCGCGCTTCTTCTTCTCAGCTTGGATACAATCCTTCAAGTGATCAGTTTCGTTCTTGTAGCCAAGTTCCCGTGCAAGCCACATGTTCCCCATCTTGCGTTGCTTCTGCAGCAGTTTGTTTCGAAGAGCAGCTCTGGCGTTAACACTGCGCGTAGGAGATAGCTGGGTATCGTTCTTGTTGCCGTTACGTCGCAGGCTCGCAAGGAAGCTCTTCTTGGTGTTTTGTCCCTGCTTGGCAAATGGCGATGCCTTGTCGGCCATGTCTAGGACCGCCAGAGTCGTAGATTTGGCAACAGAGGGGAACAGGCGCTTCTTGTTGTCTTCTACTCCTTCGATTTCCAACTCCATATCATCATCGGAAGATTCGCTCTCCACTTCTTCCTTAACGAGCGCCTTTTTCTTGGTTTCCTCCTCCTTGACAATCTTGGCATGCTGCCTTTCAGGCATGTCCTCCACTTCAATGATTTGAATTCGCTTCTGATCCAATTTCTGCAGTAGATCCATCCGATCTTCGAGCCTCTGCCAACGCAATTCATCCGTGTTGGTTTCAAACTTGGCGGCAATGAGTTCGGCTCGTTGTTGGTCTTCCTTGCTTTGCTCGAGTTGCAATTCTTCATTGCGCACCCTTAGCTCCTGCATTCGCTTTTGTCGTAGTTTCTCCGCCGCTGCATGCATTTCTGCCGTCTTTTTGCTCTTGGCCGACTTGCGAGCGGATCTGCGGCGACTCTTGCTGGGTTTGTCCTTGTCCTTGATAGAAGCTTTCTTCTTTTTCTTGGGTGCACGGCGGCGCTTGGGTTTGGCGTCATCATCCTCATACTCGGAGGATGGCTCCTCTTCTTGTTCGGCTTCTTCTTCCTCCTCCTCTTCACTGCTGCTACTATCGCTATTCTCGTCATCTTCCGACTGTTTTTCTTCTCGGTTGATCAAATCCGTCAAGTGTGCCTTGACAACCTTGTAGTTGGCAGCGCTAAGCTTGACTCCAAACTCTTCCTCCAAGTCTTTTCGAATCATTCCAGTTGTCATCTTAGTTCTGTCTTCCACTTGTGCAAAGAGCTTGTCGGTGGCACGAAGCAGTTCCTTGCGAGCTGGCTGCTTCTTTTTCTTGCCCTTGTTGGATTCGTCCTTGGACTCGGTGGACTCTTCCTTGTCTTTATTGTTGGTGGTCTCGTCATTGTCTTGTTTGTTTTTCTGGATCCTTGGGCTGGGACGCCGTTTGTTACTGGTCTGACTGGCATCATCATCATCATCATCGTCGTCACTATCGCTATCCCAGCTGTTGTTGTGCTTCTTCTTGGGAGACTTGCTGTGCTTTTTCGGAGTTTTGCAGGGTGAAGTCTTTTCTATTTCCTGTTCGTCATCATCATCATTGTTGGATTTCTTGAGCCTGGGACTGCTTCGCCTTGCATCCTTCTTGGGACTGGGCTCCTTATCGTTATCCTCTTCTTCTTGATCCTCTGTATCCGTGTCCTTGCTCACATCCGCACTGTCCTTGCTCTCGGCAATGATGTCTGCTGCACTAACTGATTTGTCGTCATGTTCGTCATTGTTGTCATTTTCCTTCTCGTCATTTTCTTGACTTTCTTGAGAAGCTGGCAACATCAAGTCATTATCGTCTTCTTCATCATCGTCTAAATCCCAGGCAGCCTTGGACGGTTGATCATGGCTAATGGAAGCGGCGGGAAGCATGGGCTCATCCAATAATAAGTCATCCTCTTCGGTGGTAGCAGGTGGTGTCTTGGGTTTGGCAGATCCAAAGGTACGACGACGGGGTTTGGGAGGAGACACTGCAGACACAATGGGCTTGAGCAGCTCATCATCTTCGCTATCCGAGGCCATGGTATTAGTACTAGTAGTCTCACCCTCAGTCTCTTTGTTCGTCATGATGTTGTCTACCTACTCTGGACCCCCTCTAATGTTGGCGCCTTTCAAAAAAAGTGAGACCACTCAAAACTCTTCAAGGCGCCGCTCTGTTCCTCATTTTGGCGCGAAACTGATCGACCAAGTGTGCGACGTAAAGATATCTAGGGTTAAGGCTAATTCAGAGCACCTTAATTTTTAAAAAAGATCGACAATGGCCATGACCATCACACCACAACGCCGCTGCTTCCATTTGAAGCTCTACTCCTCCCGATACTATCCACCAGCTATCTAGCTGCAGTAGAATAACAGCAACACGTTATCGTTATCATGGCAAAGAAGAAAGTGTTACTGATGGGTAAGGCCCACAGCGGCAAGACCAGCATGCGATCCATCATCTTTGCCAACTATTTGGCCAGAGATACCACACGGCTGAGTCCAACTCTGGATGTAGAGCATCATCATGTTCGGTTCCTCGGGGATCTAGGTGAGATGATATGAGCGATGGGCCTTTTATCAAGGCATAAGTTGCCTTGGATTGCCTTTCGGAGTGTTTGCTTGGTTGGATCGCACTACGTATACATTCTGCCAATTCTTTCTCATTCTTCACTCTCTTACTTCTACTTACTTGTCATTCATTCATCCAGTCCTGAATCTATGGGACTGTGGAGGACAGGATGCCTTTTATGAAAGCTACTTTGAAAGAGATCGAGAGACCATCTTTCGATCGGTCGAATTGCTCATCTACGTCTTTGACATTGAAAGCGAGAGTCCCGAAAAGGACTTTGACCACTTTTGTGGAGTATTGGAAGCCATTGAGGAAAACTCGCCCGATGCACGCATCTTTGTATTGGTGCACAAAATGGATCTAGTGGCCGAAGAAGACCGACAGGCCATTTTCGAAGACCGAAAACGATTGATTGCCGAGAGCTGTGTCAGTTGTGGTGTCGAGAATTTCAAATGCTACCCATCGTCCATCTGGGATGAATCACTCTACAAGGCATGGTCCGAAATTGTCACCAACCTTATACCCAATATCCGATTGTTGGAGACACACTTGAATAACTTTTGTCGCATGTGCGATGCTGATGAAGTGGTGCTCTTTGAACGAGCCACCTTTTTGGTCATTAGCCATGCCCAATACTCATCGTCCGAGGGGGGCACGGCCGCCATTGCCAATTTTGCCGCTCCCGGGCCACCCGCGGATGGATCGGCGTCGTCGCCGCCCACGGATGCCGTGGATATTCCAGTGTCGTCCATGGCGTCGTCACCCATGTCACCGGATTCGGGAGCAGGTGTCGTCGAAGCTCCCGAAATTGTGTCAGAAGCAGCGGAACAAGCCACAGACCGTAGTCCGGCAGCCATTGAAGAAACGCCTCGTCATGTAGGCAGGACGCCACATTTTGATTCGCACAGATTTGAAAAGGTATGCCATGGCAGATTCTACAACCCCTGTTCGACTATAGCTACGGTAGCTGATCTGACCTGACCGTCAATCTCATGTCTGTATGCTTGTTTGTTTTGTCTCCACTATCCAAAGATATCCAACATTGTCAAGCAGTTCAAGCTGTCCTGCGGCAAGGCACAATCCCAATTCCAAGGCATGGAAGTCCGTAACTCGCGCTTCTCAGCCTTCATTGATGCCTTTACAGCCAATACATACATTATGGTGATTGTGAGCAACCCACACGTCCATACGGCTGCCACACTGCTCAATATTCAAAATGCCCGAAATCACTTTGAACGATTCATTCCGAGAATTTAGAGCATGCACGGGAAAACATATGCCTACCTAATAGCTAGTAGTAACGTATCAGCAGTTCAGAGCAGACCCATTTGTACATACATTTAGTCAGCCATTTGGGATGTGGAATACCGGTAGCGCGCAGTGGTCTAGCTTGTCTGCGGTTGCGATGTCGAAATGCCAGAGTGAGTCGAGTCAAAGTAGCAATTTACACGAAAATGAGTACTACGAATTAATAGATGCTCTCTCTACCAGCTAGTCGTAGTAAAGTAGGATGGATTGTTTTCAAAATGTGTAAACAAACGCCACGAATTTCTTCGGGTTGGATCCGGGCAATAAACTCTGGTTTTTGTCGTTTATTTGTAAGCATCCCAGTCGACCTTTGGCCGAAGAACTCCCACTGGTTTTGACGCCACGGGGTATCGATAATTCGTGGGGTCCTTGGCTGCTACCTGAACAGGAGCCTTGCCCCATTGCTTGATAAGATATTCGTTCTCCTTGAAGCCCATTAGGCGATCACGAATGTCACAAAACGAGGAGAGAGCGGCAAAGGTAAAGCCCAAGGTAGCGGCCATGGCTGCAGTAGGGAAACGGGCAGGTTTTCCAAAAGTGAAGCCGTAGATCCAGGACATGGAGGTGACACCACCAACAAAGAAATAGTGGCCCATTCGGGTGGATTTGATGGCATCATCCACCGTTGGTTCCGGCTTGACAATCGGATATTTTGGATCAAAATACGGCATGATCGTTTCACCAATTCAATGCAAAAGAAAAATTCCTCCTGAATCGACCCAAGGGCATAGATGTTTAGCCAAGAGATAACCGAAAGGAAAAGGTTGGGTTAGAATACCTATAGGAATATGATTGTGGACGGGAATTGGAACTTCAGAAGGGTATCCATCAATGCAACATCGCCTACACAAGCCACAGTCGCATCCAGAGATTGGCATGATGATAATTCCAATCCAAGGGAGATCTCCTTGGAATAAAAGACATCATGAGGCAGCTCGGCGTTGGACCGAAAGCGGCAATCCAACTATGGGAAACCCCACCGGACGGCGCAGCATCAAGGGCGACAACCACCATCGACAAGCAGTCACATTGAAGTAGGTCCTCGACACCCACGACTCCGTCTCCCGCACTATAAGTACATCACGACGTGATCTCACCTAAGGTATCTTGCTATCAAGTGCTACGACACCCTTTCCAATAGGAACAACAATCGACAACAGCTACTCGGTTATTGGCTGTCGGCGGCGGCTGTCGATTGGATTGATCGCCGCTGTGATGCATGTGGTGATAAATAAGCTGGATAAGCTGTCAAATTATTGTGCAGCCGGTCTATTCAACCAGTCTATTCAGGTCGTACGGTACGGTATGAGGTAGAAGAAGAGGTAGTACCTGGTACCAGTACACTGTACGGCAGGCTGAAGAGAGAGGTGCTTGGTTCAGACAGCCCACCAATTACGGTACCCAAGGACGGGAGAAGAGGGAGCATGCAGGCAATGATTCGATTCTCAAGATGCGCTACTAGCAACAGGTAAAGTCACAGGTACCGGTAAAGCTACTAAGTCAGTCTATTCATCCCGGAGTCCAAAACCAATTAACTACGTTCCGGGAACGCTGTCCAGGGTCGCATGTCATATGAGGTCTCCCATTCATACGGCCTCTCCACTTTTGCTTTCTTCGCCGGCGGTTCTTCTTCGGACTTTTCGTCTTTTTTCTCCGGCTGGCACCACTTATGCACAAATGCAACAGCCTCAAGTAATTTTTCTCGGTTTTCAGCAGGGCAATCTCCGAGATCTACCGAATAATCACGATGGTTGGCCACACCACAGCCAGGCATCCAGTGCCATCCAGGACCATACTGTGCAACGTTGTCATCCTTGGACTTGTCGCTGTCCCACTTGGGACCCCTTGGTTCCAGAGGCGAATACCGGTCCTTGGCAAAGTCCAGAAGCCCGTATGCCTGAATCAGATTGTACAACCATACAAGGTTGCCGTGCTGTGTGCCATACTTGGCATGGAACCAGTTGGGTAAACCCACGTGCCACGTATCCACCCACTTCTGCCCCAAGACATCCACCATGCGTTGCATCAAACGATCCGAGACTCGCACAGTTTTGGCAAGGAGTTCAGCGTTGTCTTTCCCATCCTCTTGTGGGATCATTTTGAAGCTTGCCAAAATGGGCTGATCAAGGTCACTTGGTCTGGCTGCTCCACAGACAATGGTATGCGCCATGGGTCCATTCTTGGCCGCAGCCGAGTGTTCCTTTTGGTGCAAATGGTACTGCCACAACCACAAAGATCCATATTCCATTGGTTCAAACTCGGGCAAGGTCAATTCCCGAAATTTGACAGAAGGTGCATACAATCGTCCTCCCTTGTCGTATGGCGAAATGATAAAGACACCCATGTCTTTGCTTCGCGCTAGCTCGACATTGTCGTAGTTTCCATGCAAGTCGTGCTTGCCACTGTCACCCGAAGCCGTGTAGGATCCAATACAATGATGATGCAAGTTGAGGTAGGCAAAGGCATCGGTTTCAATGGCGCGACGAATGAGATCGGCACGTCCATGGGTAGAAAATCCAATATGACGGATCTTGCCTTCTTTCTGCAGCTATTGCAGCGCGACGATCAGATTACCCTTTTCGGGGTCATTGTCAAATAGGCACTTCAAGGCACCCTCCGAGTTGAGTCCATGGACGCTGAACAAATCGACGTATTTGAGCTTGAGGCGGGCCAATTGCGCTTCGACTGTTTCCTTAAAGTCTTTGATAGACATGTCAGCCGCGACGGCTCCTTTGGTTTGAATGATGAGATCCTCACGGTTGCAGTACTTTTCCTGAAAGAGCTTTTCGATGGCATATCCCAGTTGTAGCTCACTCGATCCGTATCCTTTGGCAGTTTCAATATGAGTGACTCCCATGTCAACAGCGTACTTCAAGATATTGACGAGATTGTCCTGACATTCTTTTTCTACCTGATCAATTTTGTCCACAGTTGCCGCCCCGTCGCGATTCCAGGATTGCTGAAAGCGCATACAACCAAGTGTTACGATTGGCATTTGCAACTCTGTTTTGCCGTAGCGGACTTTGGGAACTTTGCGAGTTTCCTTCTTGGAAATAACATTAGCCATGGTGGAGCACTCTTCCACCAACAACGACAAGGCCCCAGTTACGTTTTCCATTTTGCTGTCGCTAGACTTGGCGTATTTGAGATTTGCCATTATGTTTCGTCCCGCCTTTCTCAGACGGTCCGTAGTGCTGGGAGATTTTCCATCCAACGACTCAATAAAGGCAGGGCACGTCTTGGTCAAAAATGCTTTGGCAACCGCTTGCGCTTTTCTTGCTTCCTCCAATTCAGTCTTGACTGCTTTCGACTCGGCAGCCGCCACTGCCGCATCGTAAAGGTTTGTAGAACCGTTCGAAGAGGACATCTTTGCTCGAAAAATCAACTACCAGTATTGTATGGCAAATGCTGGGTGAGATGCCAGATGAAGAAACAAATACTAATGAATGAAGCTGACGGTCGTTTTGATGTTTCATGAACGCGGTGATTTTTCTGGAGCGGTTGGTGGAAGCTAAGTACGTGGTGGCAAAAATAGTGGAATTATGGTAGAAATAAGATACTGTACGAAGGTTTGGCGTTGGTGGAAGTTCCCTTCCCAAACATACGGTACGGTATTCAAGGCGATTGCCAATGGCCCAAAGAGAACGACGATTGAATCATTATAGATGCTTCCTAGCTAGATAAATGATTAATTCATGTAGTACAAATCACAGTCCGGCAACGCAACAGCTCCAACCACCTTGAGTCCGAATCGAATCGTATTCAAAGAGATCCAACAGGAGGAGACAAAGCCCCAGCCACAGATTTCATGCCCTTTCTGGTGCGGTGGTCGTGGCCATTGGGGCACTTGTACCGCGAAACATCTAACTTTGGATTGGTTTCGCAGAATGCTTCGACGTTCCCCCCGTAGCAACCGTGCAGACATCGAACAATCTTTTGGACGCGAAAGTAGTATCTGCGAGGACCAGCCTTATCGGTACCAGTACTTGGTGGCCCTCCTATGTTGTTCATGATCTCCATGATCACCTTCAGTTTTCCGCTTGTTGTCTTTTGCGCTTTTATAGAGGCTTGGTGAGCGCGAAGCTTCTTCGTCTCGTGGGTTTCATCAAGGGCAGTCGTAGAACTCGCGTCCCGCTCAGTTTCCATGGGTTCTCGACGGAATTGATGCGCTTGCTGGTGACCGGGCTGGAGTGAAAGGGACTGACTTCGTGGAAGTCTCAGATGTTTCTTGTCATGCTGAAGTGAAACAGCGGCTGTTAAGGGGGGTCTGCTTTCGGTTTTGCTTGTGGCGGATGGCTTTGCTTGATGGCGTGCTTCAACCGTTCCACTTGTACCGGTATCGGTGGTTTGCTCTCTTTGGCAGATACGAAGTGATGGGAGTGGTGGGAGCGGCGGGTCCTGCAGACAACCAGGAAGGCCATTACCGATTGTCAGGCGCGACGCAACATCCGTCGGAAGCAACCGTTTGCTTTCGATCTTTCCAAGGGCCGTCTGTAAAGCTGCGTTGCTCGTGTTAACATCAGAGGCAACCCCGAGGCTCCGGTTGGGTGGTGGGCTCCCAGCTCTGTCGCACGGCTCTGATTCACACCACCTGACAAAGGAAACGCGGTGTGGTTCATCGATGTCGACAAACCTGCCTGGATTGCTTTCAATGGAATCGTTGTCTTCCACACTCCCGGCCGGATTCAACGCCGTCAGCGTCTCTGTCGATTGGCTACACAGCGTTGTGTCGACTGTTTTTTCGAGCGAAGGAGCAGCGCTTTCCCCTGATGCGCCACTCCCAGTCGATGCTGCTGAAGAATGTTTTCGGATATAACATGTGTTACTTGCCTCCACGGTGTCACATGAGGACTTTCGTCGAGGCTTCTGAGGGTCGGACATGTCTGCCTTGCTGTCTGGTGCAAGGCCATCACACTGGAGTGACAAAGACCGAAACAGAAAGCTCATGTCGGAAAGCCTTTCCACGTGTTGGCTTTCCAGATTTCTTCCCCGATTCCCCTCGAGTCCAACTTGTTTCAGGTCCGCCAGTACTTTCGAGTATATCCACTTGGTTTGTTCGTGGCAGCGGTCCAGCAACAGATCCAACACTTCGCCATTTCGTTTGCTGTCGTTGTCGTCGCCTGGTTTCTCGCAGATAATTTCGGGACAACTGCGTCTGTGAGCGACAGATCCATTTGCCTCCTCCCACCACATGCCATCATGGGACAGCGGAGACGGTTGCAACTTGTCGGCATCCATGGGGTGCCAGGAGCTTCGGCGCTGCTTAGCCTCCGAATAGGTGCCAAGCTTCTCTAGCTCCTTAACAATGGCGGACTCAGATGGGACGCCGCTCAGTAGAGCCCAATCAACTGTCACACAAGGATTCAACAGTCAGCTTCCAGCGGACAAACAAATCCGATGGATCAAAACTGATACTTACGTGGCTTCATTTGATAGCAATCTTGCATGTTCGCCACCTCCGGATCCATTGCAAGCACAGCCAGCACAGCCTCTTCTACAGGTGCCCTGAACTTGAGCGCGAGATGGAGGGGCGTCATTCCGTCCATATCACGCTGCCTTGTTGCTCTTGGATCGAGCGAAAGCAGGTCTTGCACCACTTCCAACGGCGCTCCCTTACAAAGTGCCATGTGCAGCGACCCTCGCCCAAAGAAGGGCGAAAGCGGCAATGAGCAAGTTTCGTTGAAGTCTTTGGCTTGAGCTGAGTCGATATCCAACAACATCAGCTGATGAAGAGAGCAAGAGCCGTCCGTTGGGTCTTCTGGCTTTGATGGATTGGATGGAGCCATCTCGGTCTGGAATGCCACGCCAGAAGAAGATGATAACGATTGAGACGAAGTACGTCGCCTTGGTGATAAGAAGCTTAAACCCGATGTCAAGCCAGAAATTGTTCGTTGCACGCTTCCCATTGACACTGTCCAGAGTCGCATGGCATGGCCACGAAAGCTGGGGGCACCTCTAACGGAAGACTGCAAGAAATCCATGGCTTCCCTCGAAGGCACGCAAACATCCATTGTGTTTCCTGCCATGGCACCGCCCTCGACTCTTCGCCTTTTACATCCTCTTTGCATTCCACCATCTTCGCCATCGTCATCGTTGTCGTCGCCATCGTCGCCGTTGTCGTCGCTCTTGGGCTCTCTGGCGTTATCCGGGGAGACATCCATTCCATCGGATGGAGAACTGAAAAAACTAATCTCTTCAAGAAAGTTGCACATGTCCTGCAAAGTCAGATCCGATGTGCCTCGCACCTCCGGTGCCATTATGGGTGGCAATGACGACATTGCTGCCTGTTCTGTACTTGTCAAACGAGTTGGATGCTTCCTTACAATAGAACAAACTATCATATCATTCAATGGAAACATCAGTGCATGTACAACTGAAGCGCAAAGATCCACCCTGATACCCGTTGGATATCTTACCTTGTCATTGACGCGCCTATTCGTCACAGGTGTTTATTGTCTTCCTTGCAAATGGTTCCAGAAGACAAGTTGTGCCATCCATCTCTGGGCGGCAACAAAACCATGACCCGACAGATGGTTGACGATCGAGTGCAGACGAGAAAAATGCTCAGGCTTCCACCCCCGACTGGCCCACCCGACTCTTCCGATACAAGGTGGTAAACAAAGGCTTATGCATTAACCCTCAGTGATAATTATCGCTGGTATAGCTGCATCAATCTCATCTTGGAAAGATTGATACTGGTATAAATATTCCAGAGACGCCGGTCACGCAGGTCTGGATAGAAAAATAGCCATGGCACGGTCACAGTTGGACTAAGACGCGAAAGGGTGATGACGGATACTATGTCATTCAATGGAGCAGCCATGGCTGATGATTGCTTTCCCTCCGCGTTCCCTCACAGCTCTACCTAGCTAGCTGGCTAAGTGGCCATCTAATCGCAACATTGTCATTGGAAAGAAAGGCTGGCTTCGCTGGGACATGTCTTTAAGAATTACACCTCTGCGCTTTCCCAGAGAAGTGCGCTCTGCGATCATGGCCTGTAAAGCCAGTCTACTACGCATCGCAACGAGAAGGAAACTCTGAAAGTAACTTTCTCTTAGACCATGCAATACCAGGGTACCCCATAACTCATCCATTGATTCGTGCGTATTTTGCGAAAGCTTGACATCCTCGCTGCCAGGCTATGCTTGCTTGCAAAAATTCGACTATGTGACACACTGAGTCATGCGTGTGACATTTTCGTGACAGTTGGATAACTTTAACCCTTTTACTTAAGGGAAAATATGCATGGGTTTTGTGTAACGCTCGATCGGCACCCAAATCCGAGCCGTTTGGGTGGCCGTGGAGCGTTTCGCAAATCACATACAATCGTCTGTCAGTCAACCGGTATCCGTTGAGTATCCAAATAAAATCGCATTTTGGGTTGGCAGACTCTCGGGCAGATCTGATCAAGCTTCTTATTTAACAGTTTCTGAACTGACGTCAAATGGTTTGTGATTTGGGTAGTCAGGCTATTGAATGCTCTTAGACAGAAGAAACGCCATTGTATCCATAGGACGAGAGTAGGTGAAGAGTTCGGGTGCAAATCTACGACTGTATCCAGCCATGAAGCGGCTGCATTCGGGTAGTGTCCGCTTTTGGCTGCTTCCCCAACATGATGCAATGATGTCAAGGGCCATAAGCCCGCCAGCGCATTGCCTGGCTGGACCCCGACTATGGGAGGGGCACAAAGCCAAGTCTGAGGATGGTGTAGCTTCGGTATCAAATATTGGTGATCTTTCCACGGGTTGTCTTAAAATAATGGCTGGGCAGGGAGAAACTTGGAAACTTAGTTTAGACACTTCCGTAGTTGTCTGGTCTACCAGTAGCTTCATTTGATGTCAACGCAGGAGCAACGAGAACTAGAAAGAGATAAAGCTTGCATCACCCTGGCTGCAGGAGATCCTGTGTGAATGTAGCTTAGTTTCGTTATATACAAGCCAACAGAGCCGCTGAAACATCTACGGTACTATTATAGCAGCATCAGCCCGGATGCCATCCGTGAGGTCTACCCAACAACTTTTTTATTAAAATGAAAGGGGGTTTGGGGGTGGTTCTTGCAAAAAAGGTTGGGAAATTTAGTATAGAGCAAACAGTTCAAAAGCCAATTTTGCTTTTAAGGGTCATATTTAAGCAAATTCAGTGGCTTAAAGCATGCACTAGTTAAATGCAGGCAAATAAGCCACAAGATCCATGATGTCCAAGCTTAAGCCATAACCTTTAGACATGGTTTGAATAAATTAAAAGCATTAAGATGGTCATGCCTCACATTGCCAATTTGTGTGGTACCAGTAGTCACAATGGTCTATTAATACCTGCACAGACCAGTACATACCGTAAAAGTATATCCCTGAACTGAGAGAAATACTGAGATCGTGTAGGAGTAGTAGGGGATCCTACAGGACGTATTGATTGATGAGGTATCCACCACCTGGTGTATGCTGGGTACGATCGTTCCTTCATACCAGTGAGCGAACGAAAGGTCACCGCCTCGGTCGTAAGAAAAATGAGGTTCGCACCTCTACTACTCACTGTTAAGATAACGTCGTTCGCACCTCTATTATCTTGCACCTCTGTTATCTCGCTACCAGTGCTAGAGTACGTTCGAAAAGCACAAGTCCACGAAATGGCTACGGACGTTCGAAAAAGCACAAGTCCACAAGTCCACGAAACGAAACCAAAAGCACAAAGTCTCATGTAACAAACTAACTATTAGGCATGGCTAGCATGCTTATCAAACTAAGGTCAACTTTACTGAGCACGAACAATACAAAGATCCTCATGCAGACTGTTCATAATGGTGTCCTGCTTGATGGCAGCAGCAATATTCAAAATAGTTCCTTTGTAATGCTCCTCAATCTTGGTGATGACCCAAGCTGGAGCTTTCTGAGCATTGACAAGTGTAGCCATGAGAGTCCAGAGTGGCTTCCTCCTGGAGTAGGTTGACTTGCAAGCACTGATATCTTCAGCAGTGAAGTTCTTGGCTGGCTTGTTGCCACCAATACCATGCATCCACTCTTCCCAAGCAGAGCTAACAGTTCTGTACTTGTGCACTTGGCTAGCTTGGCAGGCCTACTATCAGCAGGGGTTGCCACAGCTCGTCTGTACCTGAGGCTAGTCTGGCCATTCCGGCGAGTCCTTTCCACAGTCAACCCATTTCTAAAAAGATTACTGCACTACGCTAAAAGCTAGTGTAAAGATCTTTCGAGTGTTTTGAGTTTGAGAGAATGGAAGTTATGAGAGGATTAGAAAGCTATGAAAAACTAATCAACGAGAGAGATCCACAATCAAAGGATCGTAGATCTGAACTCCCGCGGGAGACTTGTAGAGTGTGATAGAGTAGGTTGCGGTAGCAATCCTACTCTCTCCACGACCCAAAACGGAACGCGTGGAAGATTCGTCTAGCATTTATCAGTAGCGTGGAAGTGTCCACGCTGGCTAAATATCTAGAGCGATGTTTCATCATCAACCTAGTATGACTAGAGCGGTATTGAGAATTCTGTCTCAATGACTATTCGCGAAGGACTACGTCATGAGTCGAACTCAACCCTATCTAGGATCGAGTCGCGAATAAGGCTAAGAGCCGTGTATTGCATTCGCCCCTGACAAGGGTCACGGAAGGCACGACATCAGTCGGACAAGGAGAACATATGAATTAAAGTGCGGGGCACTCCCGGAGATTGGATGTAGACATGTGCGTCGCACGATGGCAATCCTACAAGGGATCAGGCCTTGTATGGGTGTAATACCTTATGTTCAAGTCTGGTAGACGTGGCGCTATTTGCGGTAGTATGTCGAGCCCGTACAGTGCCATTGTTATTGACTCGGTCTGTGTGGTAAGGACCTGTGCGTTGGCTGACCGTAACGGTTCTGATACTGATGAATCCTCATAGTTTCGTTGACATGGGTTGACGAGGGACACGTGCCGTGTTCTCCTTATCGGTGTTTTTCGGATAAGTCGTTGGCGACGTTCCTTAATGTTTTCCGTTTGCTTCTTGAAACGGATGTGGTGAGCTTGTCACGATTGACGCGGTGAACTTGCGACGAAGTCCATGTTTCATCCCGGGAGTCTTCTTGATCTCTCGGACTCACGTTCTCTGTCCAGACACCGGTCATGGATTGGGTAACCTACGTCTTTCAGAACGATGTTACTCCGTCTGCTGTCTTGGAGCAGCCTTGGTAGTTCATTGGTCCAATGATCTACGAAGTTCTTCCTGTGGTAGGAAGACTAGCTGGATCGCGTTTGTTATCTTTTTGGTTAAGATTGGCTTCCTTCTCGAAGTCCAATTGTCTAGATATCCAGTTCTTCCTATTGAGGAAGGCCTTGGTAGTGTTGATTTCAATCCTGACTTCTTGGAGTCTTTGGGAAAGGTCATCCTACGTTCAACGCGATCTGCGAGTTGACGTTCGTTGGATGAGTTGATCAGTCAACGTATGCACGGACATTTTCTAAGTCATGCAGCGTGCTTCATCTTCCTTGGAAGATGTCGGGGACTATTACATAGGCCCATTGGCAACCTTTTGGTACTCGTACTTTCCCCATGGGAGTACGATGGTACAGAGTTGTTTCAGTGAGGTGACAGCTCATGTGGTAGTATCCCATGTTTAGGTCTAGATTAGTAGCGTACTTGAATCCATCTAGATTCAAGAGCATGTCCTGTATTTTGGGATAGGATAAGGCTCCGCTTATCCTTTTGTTCAGTTCCGGAAATCAGAGATTAATCGTGCAGATCCTCTTTCTTGGGAATGATGAAAGTTGGTCCCCCACTGGAACGGTTACTTCTTGAGTGTCTCTGTCTCGAGAGACGTTCAACCTCTTTTTAAGAGTGTTTGTGTGGACCTCGTGAGTAGGGTGAGCCCTATGTAATAGGATTTAACGTCGGGACGAAGTTCTACTTCGTAGTCGTCCATTCGAACTCTCCAAAGTATCTCTCGGGTCCGAAGCACTTGGTTGAAAAAGCATGAGGCAGTTCTTGCTCTCCTTGTTTAACGGATTTCGGCTCTGGCATATCTGCCTTAAGCTATTGTTCGTATGTCGTATCAAGACTCTTCTTGAGATTCTGCGGTGTCGCTGAACAGCCGCGAACCGGAATGGAGAAGTTCTCCTTTATTGGAGTTTCCCATCTTTCGCCGGGAAATATGCTGTTCCACCACAATGAAATGGTAGTGAAAACAAACTTGATCTTAGATCGCAGAGAGTGTCATGACCTGATGATCACGTCTTGCGCCACCAAGTTATTGGTGACGTGTAAATTCCACTTCGATAATTCTATCAACGTGGAACTCAGGAATCGAGAGGTGCCATTACACTTACGTGAGGGGTCTCAATTCCTCATAGGAGCAGTCCGTAATGTTGGACGCCCCAGATCTCTGAGTAACTCTTAGATATGAGTTTGAGCAATTAAGGTTCGGAAATGCTTCTGTTTTCAGTAGAACGTTGAGTGTAAGGTTTTTGTTTTTCCCTTTCGCTCCCTGTTGAATCTAACATAGCAGATAGTTTTGAGGTTCTTTTGTCTTGCGGACGTTGATGATGTGATTGGCATGACGAAGTTAA